TTTGCCCAGATTAGTATGCTTCCTACTTTTAAAGATTTCTGTCAGAGAATAGAAAACGCTGGCTTCTTAAAACCTCTTATGAAAAAGGAAAAGTTGCAATTGGTTGTCATCATTGTTAACATAGTAACGATTATAAAAGGGGAGTAGTGACACACCTTTCTTCTAGGAAACAGTTACCAGGCAATGTCCATAGAACTTGACCATTAAAAAAAAAAAGATAAAGGAATCTCAGATATTTGAAATGAAAGAATAAACCTCACCAGCAGAGTGTTAAGAAATCACTGTAAGTTATGTCTGATGCTTACTTAACATTTGGGTATATTAATTTTAAAAGAAAGCAACTATAGAAAAACCTTTTTTTGGCTGATCTCTTTCTCTTTTGATTGCAAATTTTTTTTATCCCAACTCGTTCATTGGAGTCTGGCAAACAGAAGAGAGCCTACCTTATTTTAGCAAGTTTCTAAGATATTTGTAAGGACACTAGAAAGCCTTTGAAGCATTTTAAAGCAGGTAAGTGACATTTTTTAAAAACCAGTCTTGAACTTATGGTTTTCAATATATTTAGGCATAGAAATAAATATGTAAATGTGGGGTGTGTATGTGTGTGTGTGTTTGTGTGTTTGCAAACACATGCATGTAGAGTGTGTCCCTTCGCTTTGTCCACTGAGAAGGCCTGAGGCAGCCATATCCTAATCGCAATGAGCACATCTCGTGTCCAGTTCTTGGTTTCTAAATAATATTCTCCATTAAAAGGAACCAAAGCTCTTTGGAGAAATGGCTGATTCAAGAGCTGATGCAGGAAAAGTATAAATTGAGCCTGAAACATGTTACTATGCCAGAAAGAAAACAAAACTAAAAAATAACAAATGCTAAAAGACTACAGTCATGCTGAAGGATACAGAAGACAACTTGAAAGGGCTTCCACTGACCAAATCAGAGACAACCTGAGTATGAAAATAAACAACATTAGTCAGTGGTTAATAATTCACTGAATTGAATAGAGATGTATGAGTCCATACTAATTAAGTAAATAAAGTGAAAGTGTAATGAGGAATGGAATATTTATATAGTACCAAAGTTCCCCCCCCCAAAAAAAAATTCTTATTGATTACAAAGGGGAAAGAGTAGTTTACAGCAGAGAAATCTGGCAAATACTACTTTAATCAAGTAATCAAAGTAACAGGACAGATGGAAACAGGCACCACCTGATAGGACACAGCAAGAAGAAAACAGCATCAGTCCTGCCAAAGAAGCATATACTGAGTCTATAAGGAAATATCAGACAAACCCAAATTGAGGGACATTCTACAAAAAAACTGGCCTGTAATCCTCAAAAGTGTCAAGGTCATGAAAGTCAAGAATGAAGAACTTTTCCAGGAAACTAAAGAGACATGACAACTAAATGTGACATGATTCTGGACTGAATCCTTTTGCTATAAAAGGCATCAATTGGAAAACAGGCAAAACTTGAACGGGTCTGAGATTTAGATGGTAGGAATGTATCAGTGTTCTTTTCCTGGTTTTGATGGTTTTATTGTGGTTATACAGGAAAATATCCTTGTTAGCAGGAAATATACACTAAAGTATGGAGTGGGGGGAGAGATGGGGCAACATATTGGCAACTTATTCTCAAATGGTTGAGTAAAAATGTTTCTTGTACCATTCTTGTAAATATTCTGTAAGTTTAAGGTCATTTCACAAAAATAGTGGAAAAACAAGGTTATTCCTTGGAAAAACTTTAGATGGTTTCCCACAAGCCAAGTTGCCCCTGGTACTACTACTGTTTAATATAATATTGGCAGTTCTGTACAATGATGTAAGAAAAAAACAACAAAATAAAACAAAACAAGAATTACAACAACAACAAAAACCCAACAAAGTGTAAACACTGAAAGGGAACATATAAAACTGTTTTTATTTGCAGAAGACATAATTATCTCTATAGAAAACCCAGCAGAATCAATAGACAAACTAGAAAAACCAAGAAAAGAGTTCATTAAGGTTGCCAGATAGAAAATCAATTATCTTCCTCTACAGACCTAAAGGAAATATTTGCAATGTCTAAAGTGGACATAGAATTAATATGTGACTACACAGTGAAATCTTATAAATCAACAAGAATAAAGACAGGAAAGTCAATAGGAAAAAATGTGCAAAGGATATGAGTAGGCATTTCAAAGACTGTGAAGCTCTATTAGCTAACAAGAATATGAAGTAACACTCAAACTCACTAGTGATCAAGAAATGCAATGTGAAACAACCAACAGTCCATTAGAACTGTAAAAATTAGAAAGTTGTATAACATCAAATGTTGGAGAGGATAAGAGGTGATAAGAACTTTTAAGTAATATTGTTAAGCATGTAAACAGCTACAGATCTTCTGAAAACGAATCTGGCAGTACTTAGAGAAATTAAGCATGCATAAGCCTCATGGCCCACAAATTCCACTTCTGGATATATATCCCAGGGAAATTCTTGAATAGATTCAAAGGGGACCAGGTAAAAAGAGAATTCTCTAGCACTGTTTGTAGAAATGGGGAATGGGTAAGTATAGTATGATAGGTGTCTGCTATGGAATCCTATGCAGCTATTATATGCAATGAACTAGATTATATATAGCAATAAGGATGGATTCTAGACATGGAGTTGACTGAAAAAAGTAAAAACAGAATAAAATAGCAATGCCATTTATACACATTAAAAACACATACATTAAACAAACAGCAGTAGGCTGAATACTGCTCCCACCTCAAAGATGCCTACATCTTAATCCCCTGAATCTGTGAATCCCCTGAATATAGCAAAATGGATTTTGCAGGTGTAGTTAAATTCAAGACGTTAAGATGGGGAGAGTATCCTGGATTATCCTGGGTAGAACTGATGTAATTACAGCGTCTTTATAAGAGGGAGGCAGAAGTGAGTGAGTAGTAAATGTGATGACAGAAGCAAGAGGTTACAGAGATGAAAGAAGGGGCCACAAGCTGAGGGATGCTGGCAGCCTCCAGAAACTAGAAAAGACAAAGCAAACAGGCTCTCCCCTGAAGCCTCCAAAAGAAATGGAGTCCTGCCAACACTTGATTCTACCCTTCTGACCTCCAGGCCTGAAAGAGAATGAATTTGTATTGTTTTAAGCCACTAAATTTGTGGCAATCTTTAATAGCAGTAATAGGAAACTAATATACAACCCTACCTGCATAGTTAGGAGCACTCCGCACATTTAAGTGGTGTCTATGGAGAAGAGGAATAGGACAGCAGACAGGGAATGAAAGGAGGTAATAGAATAAAACAAGAAAGGTAGTTTGCCTGAAGATGAAAACACTGTATTATAACCTAAAGAAGAGGATTACTCAAGTCTCAGTAGGAAAGGTCCAGCAAAGACAAATAGAAGCAGGTCATTCTGACCACTGTGTAGAAAACAGGTTGGATGGTTTGGTAGACGTAATAGATATTCTGGCTCTTTTAAAGGCTTTTCTGATATAAAAACAATCTCTCTTGGTCCTCGATTCTGTGAAGGTGGTGCCCTCAGAGATAGGCATAAATATTTTGGTTATTGAAAGCTATATCACTCATGGTAAATCACTGAGTTTCTCTTATGAATTTGATTAGTGTGAGTCAATCTGAATATCTACCATGGCTGGTCTGACAAATTCAAGTTTCCAGGTTCATGAAGATGAGGGCTAACCTGCACTGTGCTGACTACCTTAAAATCATGTAAAGCCACAGTGCAGCCAACCTTCATCCTGGTGCCTCACCATCCTTCGAACTTCAGCCTTTTTCCTCTCTGTATCCCTAACACCTTGCAAAGGGCCTTACAAACAGTAGGCACAGTGCTTGTTAGTAGCCATCCCTGCTGATCTAATGGTTGGGATTTGGCATATTCGCAGTACCTGTTAGTGGAATGAGGTGACCTTTCCTTTCCCTCAACTCAGACCATCTTTCTAGTTTTATTTCCTTTGTTGCATCTACCCCTACAGACTCAGTATTCTCTGAACACTCCATATTCTTTCATGTGTGCTTGCCTTTTTGCAAGTACTGTTCCTAGTGACTAAAACAGTGACCTCTTTTTAAAAAGGAAGTTCAAATAGTACCTCTTCTTGGACATCTTCCTTGTCTCCCCATGCATTCATTTAATCAATTATTCATCTATCCACTGACTCAACAAATACTGAGCACGGTTACAAGATGGGCACAATGCAAGGCACCGAAAATATGATGGCAAGCCAGAGAGATTGCATTTAATGTTCACATTGATAAATACACAATTGCTGAGATACATGCTCTAAGGAAACAAACACTGATCATTGAGAGCACATCACCAAGGAATCTGTTTAGATTAGGGTGGGTTGTGAGTAGAGGGGTTCAAGGAAGGCCTCTTTGAGGAAGGAACAGTGAATACCAATTTGAAGGCACGAATAGGCAGAGTACAAGCAAAAAAAAGGCATTCCAGACAGACTAGAAGGAACGTAACAAATTTGAGGAATTGAAACAGGCAATGGAGTTAGAAAGCAGAGAACAAGGGGGAGAGTGATGCCTCGTCCCAGGCACAACGTTCAGAAGATGTTTTCTATGTGTCTGGAATGGAGTCCCCAAAGCTTGACGCCGCGCTTAGGTTAGAGTTGGATGCACAGCTCCCGCTGGGAGCCAACACAACCAGCGGTAATCAGCACCACCAGCCCTTCCCACAATGCCGCGAGAATGGCCCTTCCCTCACCAGTCCCGAGACCTCGCGAGAGGATGGCGCCCGTTGTTGCCCCGACTCCGGGTGCCAAGCTTTCCCCGGCCTCGGAACAGCCTCCTCCTTCCTCTTTCCCCCGCCTTCCACCCCGCGCTCGGCTGTCGGACTGGCTGATTGACCCGGGTCAGTTTTTTTCTGGCCAGAAAGTGGTTGGACAATTAGTCCTATTTTTGGCCCCGCCTCCGAAGCCTGCGGATTGGACTGCTGAGTCAGGTGCCACGCTCCTCTGCGGAGCGCGGACGAGCCAATCAGGAGCTTGGCGTATTTTACAAACTGGGGAAGGAGCTGTAGCAGAAGCCGAGTCAGGGAAAAAGCGAAGAAGTGGGGGCGACCCTGGGGGGTTTCGAGGAAGGTGCGGCGCGGGGACCTTGGAGGGAATGAGGGCTGTGGAGGATCATAAGGAGGAGAAGCAGTTCGAGGTTCTGGGGCGAAAGAATAGTCTCAGGGTGCCTGGAGGTGGCACCCAGAAGAGCGGCCTTGCAGGCGCCGCCGGGTCTTCTGGGCGCACGGATTTGGGCTAAGATGGAAGGGATGTGAGAATGGGACCGATGCCCCGAACTGGCTGACCTTTGATCCCTGATTCTGCCTTCTTCTCCGTCTCAGTTGTAGCCGTCATGACCACCAGGAAGGATCCTCACCTCCGGGGTGTATCACCCACGCCTAGCAAGATTCCAGTACGCTCAAAGAGATGCCCGCCTCTCCCCACAGTCAAGCCCAGCGCCCTAGACCAGGAGAACCAAGATCCAAGGGTAAGAGGGGCCTGGTGGGTGAAGACAGTAGCTACAAGGAGGCAGCACACACCAACAATGCACTCCAATACTAAACTTTTTGTCTTCCCCTCCCCCCAGAGATTGGAGCAGAAATTCAGTATTCGACATCCCCTGGTTGGCTCAGCAGGCCCCAGGCCGAAAACCACACATCAAACAGAGAAATCAGAGAGATTGGTGGGGAGCACCCAGCTCCGGAACCCCTTGGGGGAGCTCAGGCCTAGCCCTAGGAGACAAAATGTGGGGCCTGGGCCCCCTCCCCAGACAGGTACCTGTTGGAGGCCTAGAACACAGTCTCCTTGGCTGGGTGGGAGAATGGGATGGGCATAGTGGGGTTTGAGGGCTTTGCACTCCTCCAGTCTCCTGCTGACTATGTATGAGTCCTGGTCCCTGCTCCCGGAAAGCTCTTTGCTCTTAGAAGCCCTCTCCTTTCTTCAGCAAAATGTCATCTCTTCTAAAGCCTTTCCAGCTCCCCGGTCACAATCAATTGCTCTGTGTTGTAATACTTTGCAATACTCTTTTATAACTTGTCCATACTTTGGCTTGAGTCTGTTACTTCTCTATAGTTTGAGAATAGGAGCTTTGTCTTATTCATCTCTGGGCCCCAGGGCCTAGAATATAGAATAGTATGTTATATAAAGTTCTGTGAACATTTGGTGAGTTGAGTCAAATTATATGAATCTCTTTGGCCCACTGTTACAACTCAAGTTGACCAACCACGCTAGGGTACCTGGCGCCTCAGCCTTCTCCCTTCCTGTTCCTTCTCACCTTTCCTTCTCTTCCCTTGCAGAGGTTCCAGGGGTCATAGAGTTTGTGGCTGACCCTGAGGCCCTGGCCACCATCCTTTCAGGTGAGGGGGTGAAGAACTGTCAACTGGGGCGCCAGCCCAGTCTGGCTCAGAGAGTACTGGTTCGAGGGAACCAGGGAGGCACCATCCGGAGGGGCCAGGTAATAAATAAGACAGGATATGAGGAGATCAAGTTGGGATGGACTAAGGAGGGAATCCTGAACTGATAGCCTCTTTTGGGATCCCAGGGTGCCCGGGCTTCTGCATATTTGGCTCCTAGAACCCCTGTCCACAGACTGGACCCTGCCAGGGTTTCCTGCTTTTCAAGGCTGGAGGGACCAGGACCCCGCAGCCGGACCTTGTGCGCCCAGAGGCTAGAGGCTCTGGTGAGTGCCCTTGGGGGGCTGATGATACTCATGGCCTCTGGGAGCTCCTTTTAGGGACAAAGCTGGGCCTTGGGAGAGAAGGTACCTCATGACGGTGTTCTATGGAGGCAGACGGGGTTGGTGGTGAAGCCTGAAGGTTTGGAGCCCACCTCTGACTCTGCTTTTTTCTTTTGCTTTTATGGGTCAGATTCCACCTTCAAAACCTTCCTTTTACTCCTCTGCTCGCCCCAGCTGCCAGGAGCCAAGAAGAGAGACAGGTGGCGGTAGCTGGTGAGAAGGAGGGGGTCATTTGGAAAGGAATGATCCAATATCTGATGCAGGGGTCCCTCAAAGCTGGGGCCTTCCGTAGCTTTAAGACTTCCTACCAACTCAAGAGAGAAAGAGGGGAACCTGTGACTGCCCAGGGTGAACCCTTGGAATAGGATTCAGGCCCTCATAGCAAGGCCTCAGTAGGACATCAGTTTCTTCAGGTTGTATGGGGAGGAAGGGCACAAAAGTGAGAAGTGTTATCGCTTTTGTTTAGTGGCTAGAGCACAGACTGTGTAATAAATGGAACCTGAGTTTGATTCCTGACTCTTAGCACTAGTTACATAAGCTTCCCTAAACCTCCAAGCTTCAATTTCTTTAATAATCTGTCAAATGAGGATAATGTTTGTGTCATTAGAGCTTGTTGTGAGAATTAAATAAGATAATGTTTGTAGAGCAGTTAGCACAGTGCCCAGCTCATACTTGGTACTCAGTGACTGCTACCTGCTGTCCTTATTATCATCAGGACCTCAGTGAGCCAGGCCTCAGGATTGCTCCTGGAGACCCCACTCCAGTCTGGTGAGTGTATCTGGTCATGGGGAGAAAATGGGCAGGTGGGATGCCTGCAGTGGGGAGCAAGATGAGAAAGCTCAGCAGGTGGGAAAAGGGGAAAAGGCCAGATCAGAGGGAGCCAGAGAGGAAGAGACCTTCTTGATAGACCAGAGGTTGGCTCAGTTGCACTTGCATCAAAGGAAGTGCTCCCCATTTCTACCCTCTCCCTACCACTTCCTACAAGATTTACCTTCCACTCACTATTCTATCCTGAGTTCTTAAGAACCATCACCACACTCTGAGCCCACTCAGGGTGTTCAGATTAATAAGTGATTATTAAGATAGTTCTGGGCTCCAAGGAGATGTTGGATGGGTCCACACCCCATTGGGGCAGTGGCGATTGTCAAGCTGTTGTACCCTCTTTAGAGGTTGCAAAGCCTGTGCCCGACTTTGGTGAGTGTTCCAGACACTACAGCATATTTCCTGTCTCCTTCTAGCTTCTTCTCTCCCTGAAGGAGAACATGAAATTGTCACTCACCCAGATGAAGGAGGAGGGGGCCCCCTCGGTCTGGCCCAGTTGGTTCCATTAAGAGAAACTGGAGAGATAAACCACACCAGGGTGAGATGGGACCCTCCTGGGATGGGGGAAGGGGGAAGGAGAGATGCTTGGAGGAATTCCCCAGCAGCAACTAGCACTGAGGATTGTGGGTGAGCCAGGCAGTCCTGGGTGTCAGATGTTAATTGGGTCTGGGTTTGCTCTCCATGGGCCCAAGCCCTCTCCAGATTGGGACTGGCCTCTGTTTACCAGTTGTTTGGGGTCTGGGGGTAAAAAATCACAGTCTGATATATATTTGTATCACCATCAGATCAGTACTGAGAAATCTGACATTTGTCAACCAAAGCATTCATTCATTCACTCCACAAGTATTAATCGATCCACTACTGTGTGTCAAGCACTGTTCTAGGTTCTATTGGGTTGTCGGAAAAGTCATGTCATGTTTTTTCTATGTTTTTTTGTTGCAAAAATTCATCATGACTTTTCTAACAACCCAATCGATACACAGTAGTAAATAAGTTCACATTCTAGAAGGGGGAGGCAAAAAGTAAATGCATTGTAAAATATATAGTATGTCAGATGCTAAGTTCTCTGTAAAGAAAATAAGGCACTGAAGGGGAAGTAGAAGTGGTGGTAAGAGTTGGGACTGCAATTTCAAATAGATTGATCGGGGCAGGCGTTAGCAAACTGCGGCTCATGAGCCACATGTGGCTCTTTGGGTATGTTCTGTCTCAAAAGTTTGCCAACCCCTGGAAGAGCCAATCCTGTCCTTCACAACAATTTAAAAATTATTCGAGAGCCATAAATATATTTTTACATAATCACCATGATGTGAATAATATCCTTTAAAAATTTTATAAATGAAACTATGATAGTTTTATTTTCATTTTCAATTTTACTTCAGAGCCACATGTACGTACCCAGTGAGCCGCATGTGGCTTGCAAGCCTCAGTTTGCTGACCCCTGGTGGCTCTTCTATCTCAAAAGTTTGCCTACCCCTGGTCAGGGGTATCGCATTGAGAAGGTGATGTTCAAGGGCCAGCCGAGTGGCTCAGTTGGTTTAGAGCTTGCTCAAGAGTTTGAGCTCTGAGCAACAGCAGTTCGAGTCCCAGCCCGAGCTGAGCAGCCGCTGAGCTGCCAACAAGTGGCAGGATGGCTCAGCTAAAAAAACTGTTAGAGAAGGTGATGTTTAAGTGAAGACCAGAAGGAGCCGAGGGAGTGAGCCATTCACATATCTGGGGGAAGAACATTCCAGGAGAACTGCAGATGCAAAGGCCCTGAGAAAGGAATGTGCCTAGTGTGTTTAAGGATCAGGGCCAGCCAAGTGGCTCAGTTGGTTTAGAGTTGGCTTAAGAGGACGAGCTCTGAGCAACAGGGCCACCGGTTCGATTCCCACATGGGCCAGTGCCGCTGCACCCGAGCTGAGCTGTCTGAGCTGCCAACAGGTGGCAAGATGGCTCAGCTGGTGTCACAACAAGATTGCCTATTCAATGGTAGGCTACGCCCACCCACAACTAAGACTGAACTTGGCACTGAGCTGAGCTGCTGCCCAGATGGCTCAGTGGATAGAGCATGTGCTCTTAACAAGTCTGCTGGTTCAACTCCCGCATGGGATGGTGGCTACGCCCACCTGCAACTAAGATTGTAACACAGCACCTTGAGCTTAGAGGCCACGAGCTGCCGATGGGAAGCCAGATGGTGACTGGTGCCCTCCACAACGAAGACTGAAGAACAACAACTTGGCTGGTCCCCTTCCCCAATTCCCCAATGAAATCTTTAAAAAAAAAAAAAAAAAGAGAGACACCAGTGAAGCTAAAGCAAGTACAGGAAGTGAGGTTAGAGGATCAGCCTGGGTAAGGATTTATAAACCAGTGTAAGACCTTGGCTTTTCTTTGGAATGAGAGGAAAGCCATGGGGAGGGGGATGAACAAGGGAGTGACGTGATTTGATTAGGTCTTAAAAGAATCACACTGGCTGCGATAGTGAGAACAAGATCTGGAAAGGCAAGGGCGAGGGATCACTCTTCTACCTTGTCCCTTCCACAGGACAGCCATGACTGCCACCCCATGCCCTCCCCTGGCCGTTTGCTGCTACCATCCATCACCCATCCATCCCCCTTTGGACTGGCTCAGCGTGTTCCCTCCCCTGGTCCCTCAGCTCTGGTTTGTATCCACAGCTCCTGGGGGCTGGACAAGGGCAGAACAGTCTGGCTGGGCTCCCTGCTAGATCTCGGTTTTGTCCCAGCTCAGCCATCCCCATCTGTTCCCAGACCTCATATTCAGTGTTGCGGCGTCTCACCATTCGCCCCAAAACCCAGTTCACGCCCATCCCATCTGCCCCTAGAGCTCAGCAGGTAAGAGGGCACGGGAGGTAGCTGGCAGAGGAAGGGAATGGATGGGTATAGGGAGGATTATGACATCTCACTTCTGTTCCAGGCCCGATGTTTGAGTGGTCTCTCCCCTCAGTCTTGCCCTGAAGAGCCTGCCCTAACCTGGGTAAGTGCCCAGAGCTTTCCCATACTGAGATCTCACTCTGTGCTGTTAGCCTGAGGCCCAGCAGTTTGAGCCCAGTGGAAAAGCTACCTAACTCTCCAACTCTCCCTGCTTCTCTGCTGTCTCTCCTAATCTCAGTCTAGGGCCTCTTAGTTAGGGACCTGATCCCTTCCTCATGAGGGTGAGACTCAGACTAGTTTTCCTCCCCTAGCTGGGCTTCCTCACATGGTTCCTCTCTTCCCATGTGGCAGGAGCAGATTGCAGTCCGGTTATTTGACCAGGAGAGTAGTATAAGGTTACAGGAGGGGCCTGGGAAACCATCTGTGGCAACTCCTCATGGACCCCACCCTAGTAGAACCCCCAACCTCCAGGAGCTGAAGATGCAGGTGGGTCTGTGTGGGCAACAGCTTTAATGCCTGATGGGCAGTGATAGAGTTGGGGAAGGGAGAGGAGGTATGGGAATAGGACAGTGTAGTGGGGAGAGACTTTAACTTACATCTTGACATCACACTTGGGGTATTCTCTCCCGCCCACAGCGCATCAGTATCCTGCAGCAGCTTTTGCAACAAGAGGTACAGGGGCTGGCGGGGGGCAAGTGTGCCTCCCTTAATGGAGGCTCCTCCCTGGATATGGTTGAACTTCAGCCCCTGCTGGCTGAGATTCCTAGAACTCTGAATGCCCCAGAGCATAATTCAGGGGCTTGCCACCTTCCTGAACACTCTGGACTGCCAAAGCCCTGCCTTCCAGAGGAGTGTGAGGAACCACAGCTCTGCCCTGGAGCAGAGCCTGAGGTAGCTCAGCTCAGCACTCCAGCAGAGCCAGGGCCCCCAGAATCCTGCCATAGGAAGGAGCCTGAGATACCAGAGCCTACCACCCAGGAACAGCCTGAGGTATCAGAGGCCTGCCCTCTGGTAGATCCTGGATCCCTTCAGGTCTGCCGCCAGGAGCAGACTGGACTCCCAGAGCCCTCCCCTAGGGTAGAGCTTGGGGCATCAGAAGCCTGCTCCCTGGCACCTAGGAGTCCAGAGTCCAGCCCACAGCCCTGCTGCAGTCAGTGGGCTCCAGCGACCACCAGCGTGATCTTCTCCTCCCAACGCCCACTTTGTGCCAGCCCCCCTATCCGCTCACTCCAGTCTCTGAGGCCCCCAACAGGCCAGACAGGTAAGGAGTTGGTTGGAAGGGGTTGTGAACAAAGGAAGTCCTTATCTCTCGCTGGGAGCAGCCCCCTGCCCTGCCCCAGGTGATCCTAGGCTTCTACCCTGCCCCAGTCTGACTCTCCTTCAGGAAGAATGGAGGAGCTGGGCCTCCAACCCTGTGCTCCTATTGGCTTGGACCTTGGTCGGGGAGTGAGAAAGGACAGTATATCGTGGGAGTGTAGGTCTCCAGAGCCCACCCTGAACTCAATGGCTCTTGGCCCTCAGGCCCCAGCAGTCTGGCTCCTCGAACTCTGGCCCTGAGGCAGCGCCTCAAAGCATGTCTGACCGCCATCCACTGCTTCCATGAGGCACGCCTGGATGATGAGTGTGCCTTCTACACCAGCCGAGCCCCTCCCCCAGGCCCCTCCCGGGTCTGCACCAACCCTGTGGCTATGTTACTGGAATGGCAGGACGCCCTGGTGAGCCTCCCATCCATAGCCAAGTTGTGCCTGCACAGCAAACCTGTGGGAAGTGGGGAGTGAGACGGGGCCAGCCTCGGCTCCTTTACAGATGTCAGTGGGGAAGGGTTGGATCAGTTCAAGGATGGCTAGGCTGACAAGGTCTTCTCTTTCTCCAGTGTTTTATTCCAGTTGGTTCTGCTGCCCCTCAGAACTCTCCATCATGAGGCATCTGCCTTCACCCACTGCTGCCCTGCCTTACTCCTTCCTTTAAGCCCTATTTATTGTCGGTCCATGGGATTGAGAGCCGACAGCCTTTCGTCCTTCAATAAAGTTTCTAAAGTGTCAGAATGTCTGTTTCCCTCTGATCTAACATAGGCTAGCTACTGCTGTTGCTCTCCAGCTGCCCACAGGGTGGCAGTGTCCTCCAGCTTAGAGCCAGGCCAGCCCTGGGCTCTCAGGATCCCCCAGGCTCCCTCACCTTGGAGCTGTCCTGAAGGGAAGAAGTCATCCTACTCACCCACTCAGCAAGCTCTGATGTGTTGGGGGACAAATATGGGCCTTTGGGGACCTGCTCTTCTTCCTCATCCTTGAGATCAGCGCCACTTCCAGGAGCCATCAGTAACTCCCTCATCCCCTAGACCTCCTCCTCTTAGATTGGTCAGCATCTCTGCATCAGGCAGACAGCAGAAGCACCCTCCCTTGTGTCACTCTGGCTGGTGTCTACCTATAGTGTAAGGCTCAAAGCTCTCCGGAAGCTGATACCACCCCACCTCCCCCTTCCCACGTCATAGCAGAAGCCCTGGGTGACTCACCTATTCCCCCAGAGTCAGGCCTTGCCTGGAAGAACTAAACTTTTGCCTCTGGTAGGGTGAGAATCCTTGAGAAGAGTGAGGAAAAGGGTCAGCCACTTGTCCCCACTCTGTGCACCAGTTAAGAGGCACACACGTTCTCTAACTTCACTTTATTGGAAGCAGCAACAGCAGCTGTGCCCCAGGTCCCAGCCCGGATGAGGTTGAAATGGGGACTGTACAGAATGAGTTTTAAATGCTAGGAAAGAATTCACTGGTTCCTCCAGTTCATAGGAAAGCTGCCAAGGCCTGAGCCTGGAGCCTGAAAATGGAGATGAGGGGAGGAGAGGATGATGAGAGAAAGTTGTCATGACAGAGGACCAGTGCCTACCCTGTCCTAATGTCTCCTCCCGCCTAGATGGGCTCCTGTTTCTGTTCACTCCCTCCCAAAATGAGATTTCCCCAGTTTCTGGCAGAAGAGAGGGCCAAGACATGCCCCCCAACACACACCCCTCTCCGAACGGCATACACAGGCCCGGTGCGCTCACGATGCGGGTGGTCCCTTCCCAAGTTGTTCTGCTCCTCCTCCCCTCGCTCGCTCGGCCTCCACTCCCCAGCCACTTACACTCGGAAGCACCAACAGTCCGCTCGTTAAGGCCGCCTCCAGGAGCGGAGGGTCCGCCCCACCGCCAGGCTCTCAAAGAATGGGGTGGTGCCTTGGGTGGTGCGGGCTGCAGGTGGGTGAGGAGGGGAGTGGAGGCCAAGAGCAAGCAGGATGGGGAGGGAGGATCGAACGAGTAGGGGATGGGGCCTGGCTCAGTCCGGGTAGATGATGAAGCCAGAGAAAGTGCTATACTTGTTGGTGTTCCCGCCGTGCACCTTCCCGCCGTCCAGCTTAATAAAGACTTCATCGCCCACATCCAGATGCAGGATGACGCTGTTGCTGGCGTAGTCGTAGTTCTGATCTGCATCCTGGGCAATGGCGCTGGCCCGGACCTATTAAGAGAGAACAGAACAACCCCCTCATGCCCTGTGCGGAGCTGGGGTGACAAGAGAGGTCCAGCTGAGTAGGTGCAGTTGGGTCTAGGAAGGTGGCGCAAGGCTAGCTGGTTACAGGGACTGGGGAGGACAAGGAGAGGCCCGGAGGCACCGCCATCCCTAGCTGTTCGACTCCCGCAAATTTCACACCTTCTTTGGTCCTCAATTTGAACCATAAGGTGGGAGGTAATAATAGAGCCTACCTTCTAAGGTTAGGATTAAATGAGTTACTACATGTCAAACGTGTTAGAAAGAACAGTACTTTGTACATAGAAAACGCTATAGGAGTTTGTCATTGTTGTTATTATTATCATTTAAAAATTAAAATTATCCTGTAGGATAATTTCTAAAATTCTGAACCCCATCTGGCCTCCTAAACTTGTGTTCCCTTCCCCCAGTGATAGGGTACAAGTGTGTCTGTGTGTATGCAAGGATACAGGCCTTACATGGGAAGTTGCAATGATGCCGTCTCACCTCCGGGATGCCCCTTTCCTCTCGTAGCGGTCTCTGGCGCCCCCACGTGGGGGTCGACTTCTGCCCCAACAGGTAGCCTCCTCCTCTCCTCTGGCCTCGCTGCTGCTGGTCGCCTCCGGCCGCCAGCCCCGCCCCTAACCCCCCTTTTCCTGTCCCTCGGGGACTGGTTATTAACTCATTAATTATTCATCATTATTCTAATCACTATTTACCATCCTCAGGGCCCGCAGCGCCCGCTCCGCGGAATACAGAGTGGGAACCACGCGGCCCCAGCCCCCTCCGAAACCGGCACACTCTAGATACACATTGCCCCCTCCGCCGGCTCACAGACACCCCGCATAGACCACGCACACCTACTCAGTGCCACATGCAGATAGACATACTCTATTCTCACACCTTCACGCACCCACAGACACTGGCATCACACACACACACACACACACACACACACACACACACACACACTCCCTTGCACATATACTTATTCTCACTCCCTTTCCCTGGGTTCCTGGCGGCCTGCTGGGAGGAGAACCCCATACAGTGCCTACGGGTCTTGGAGCTGGAGAGCGCTCCAACTGTAGCAGGACCAAGGTTTTGGACAGCCAGGGTCAACATTACCCAATCACACCGGGCATTCGGAGGTCACCGCTAAGCCCCAACCTTACCCCTGCGTAGGCACCGAACCCAACCCCCACCCCTGCGGCCTCTCACGCGCTCTATGTGTGTCCAGGTCTTCAAGCTAAGTCCTTGGGGCTATTCTCCCATTTCAAGGCGGCAGTGACTCAGACTCTGACCACAGGGGCAAGGAGCAGCAGAACCTGGAGGCCAGAGGCTGCCAGGCAGGACGTGCGGCCTACCGGACCAGGCCGGGGTCCAAGGCTTCTGCTTTATCTGTCCTTTGCCTTTTTCCTCCCCGCAACCAGTTCTTAGCTGATCGCTGAGCTGCCACACCATTTTTCACCTCTGCCTACTGACTCAGTATTAGCTGAGGGTGAGGCTCGCTCTAGAATTGGCCCCAGGACCTGGGGCTGGCAGTAGAGCTGATAGCAAATGAGAGAGTGTTTTCCTTCTTTTTTACCTTTTCCTTAAAAATCCAAGCTGAATGACCCCAGACAGAACAGCTGCCAACTGCCCACTGCCTGGGACACGGATTCCATTCTAATTTCAAGGAGCCAGACTCCAGGTAACTCGCCCATCGCGAGGCTGGGAAACCCAAAGGCCAGGAGGGCTGCCCCAGAAGAGAGTAGCCCAAGACAGGATGAGAAAAGAGGCTAATTGGCAGGGCAAGACACCAAAGAGGTTTTGGAGTACGGTTGTCTATAGTTGGGATGGGAGGTAGTAGCTGCAGAGACATTACGCTTTGAATCCTGAGTTCTAATTCTGACACCATTTCTAACGCTCTGTGAGACCCTGGGCAGGTCGTTTCCTTTCTCCGATCCCAATTCCTCTTTGGCTAAAGGAAGCCATTTCTGAGTTCTTGACAGCTTGGCATTTCTGGGTTCAGTGATGCTGTTTGGGGAAAAGGGTCAGGTTGTGTAATGAGTGCAGGGAGATTTAGAAAGCTACCCCACGGATCTGGGGCTGGGTGGGGAAGGGTCATCTCACCTGTCCATTTTTCATCAGGTCGGCCCACATGCTGGTTCCGTCGCCGCCACGCATAAGCACATGGTAAGCGAAGAAGTAGACACCCGGCATGGGACAGGTGAACTTCCCGCTGGCCGCCTCATAAGCGTTGCCCACGTTAGTCACCACGTCGTCGAAGCGCAGCACCTCATAACCTTCGTGTGGCCGCCGCAAGCCCGCGTAGAAGGCAATGCGAGGCACATAGCCGGCAGGGGGCGCCACCCCGCCGGGGCCTGGGCCTGGAGGGCCCGGGGGACCCGGCCTGCCAGGCTCTCCTGGAGGCCCTCTGGGACCTGGCGGTCCCGGGGGCCCTCGCAGACCTGCCTTCCCGCGCCGGCCCACCTCTCCCTTGGAGCCCGGCGGGAAAGGGGGCACAGAAACGGGCGCGCCGTCGGGTCCTGGGCCTCGCGGCCCATGCGGGTCGCACACCATGCGACAGCGGCCCAGCATCTCATAGTGCGCGGGTCCGCGGGAGCTGTGCACCAGCAGCGGAATAGCCACCAGCAGCAGCAGCACCATGGCCACCCCGACGGCCGCGCCCACCACCCGCTTGCGGCGGCTCAGACGCGACGCGGCCAGGGCCAGAAGATCCTCCTCACTCTTAGGCGCAATGGCGGTGGAGGCCGGGGGCTCTTCGCGGGCCCCAGAGGCGGTGGCCGGGCTCGGGCCTGGGTCGGGACCCCCCCGACGGCTGCGCCCGGCCCCCCCGCCCCTGCAGGCTCCCGCCTCAGCGGTGCCGTTCCCCAAACCTTCCGTCAAGGCGGATGTCTCCGCGTGAGTTGAGCCAGGAGCAGCTCCCGACGGTTCAGAGCCCGTGGTCCTCTATTACCCTCCTGTTCAGCCTAACGTTCCCAGGCGCCTGACATCTGCGGCTTCTCGGACGGCTGGTTTCTTACAGATCTAGGATGCTTGCTCTCTGGACAGCTGCTTTCTCAAGGATGGCGGCACCTAGGTCCCCAGCTACCCAGACGGATTGCTCCGGGCCGGAAAGGGGACTACTCTCCGAGCTCTGGACGTCCCGGGCTCTGCTCTTCGGGTGGTGCCCACCAGACTCGACCTTCTCATAGGTTTGCGCTCTGACTCTTGGCGAGCATTAACCCGCCTTTCTACCCCAGCCGCAGCCCCAGCCCCTGCTAGAGCCCTGGCCCCGCGTTTCTCTCTTGCTAGCGCGCTGCCTCTCTGCGTCCCTAACCTTCCTCCGCTCCCTCCCAGGGCGGCGGTGCGGATGGTGAGAGCAGCTGCGCGCGGGGAGCCGCTATAAGCGGCCGGGGGCGGAGCGACCCCTGGCGACCAGAGCAAGAAGCGCGGGGGCGGGGCAGGCGGCGGCCCCCACCCGCGGGCCCCCAGCCTCTCGGTTGCTGCCCGGCTCTCTGAATCGATTGTGCAGGGGGGGTGGGGGCGTTTACTGC